ATTAAACAAGCAAACAAAAACCACCACTTTAAAAAAACCCATTCTGGAGAACAGGACAACCTCCGGCCTTCCCAAGTAAAAAAAATTTAAAAAAAAGAAATTAAAAACTGGTAATTTCATTCATTACCTGCCAAAAAATGCCACTTTCATATGTCTCCGTGAGAGCACCTCTCTAATGACTGCCAACTTGCTTTTATATGCTTGTATTTTTGCTAGTTCATCTTCTGTTGCTACATGATCAAGCTCCGGGTTCTTGTATGTGGCTACACACAGAAAGAAAAAATATAACAGCAATCACATATAGAGAATGTGTTCTGTGATACAAGGTGTAAGCAGTACTTAACATGTCAACTGCAGATTTTAATTACAGTGGTTGAAGAAAACAAGCAAAACCACACTACAGACGCTGATACCAGCCCTTATCATCTGCTAGCCCTGCTATAAACACTGGTGAAATCACAGCATAAATCACTTCAGATCAATTGCCAATCCAACCACTGCTCTACTAACCCTGTGAACGCAGCCTGATTTGCTCACTTGCCCAGTTCCTTAGGACACCTTTCCTTCAGAAAGGAAAGTCAGGACCTCTCATGGATACATAAGCTAAGCTGAGCTGTCTTCCCCCTGCAGAGCTCACTGGGATGATGAGCAACAAACTCTGTGTGGCCACACAGATTCCATACTGCTAAAACCTCTGAGGGTGTGACCAGTGGTTCCCTGCATTGCGTCACTGATGCATCTTTCTGCTGAAAAATGGGAGAACCTGTTTGTCCTTCCTTCTATGAAAAAGAAACCACCACAGAACTATAGGGCCAGGATGGTGAAACTTTCACCCTCATAGAAAGGAGAGCAGACTGCCAATCCAAGTGACTTAATCAGCTTTTCAGGTATGTAGCCATGCCAGGCATTCCTTCTAACACAAGCTGAAAAAAACTCCAGCGTCAAATGAAAAATGTCACTATTTCTGAAGGTGCATGTTTATACAAACAGCACAGTAACAGATAACATAAGGAACATTATGCTGGTGTAAAACATACTCAAAACAAAGGATAAGGCCCTCATGTTCAAGAGATAAGCCCACCTTCCACAAACGCTGCTCCCTCAGTGACATAGTCCAGCAGCTGGTCGAAGATGGCAGTGATGGTCTTTTTGGCCAGCACAAAGTGCTTCAGTGGAGACGTAGAGGCTTCTGCCATGCTGCAGCTGCAAGGAAACGTGCATAAAGTGACCAAACACTCGGTACACCCAGCTAATTAAAACTCATACACTGCACACACAGCCATTAAGCAACAAAACAAAACAAAGCAAAAACACCTGAAGCCCCAAACCTTAAACTCCAAAGGGCAGTAAGTTCAGTTTGCGCTGTTTACTCTGATCTCCTCTCCTCACCACAACCGCCAAAAGCGGCTGGCGAAACTCGGGGACAGGTTGGAACCGATCTGGTGCTATCTGTCCCGGAAACACGAGGCTTTCCCCTCATCAAACACGGCTCCCGCCTCCCCACCGCCCGCAGGTCAGCGCTGGCTCGCCGGCCAGCGAGCACGGGCCCCGCTTCCTCCCGGAGCCCCGGCTCGGTGGGGTCAGGCCGAGGGGCAGCGGCGGCCCCAGTCTCTTATGGTGCCTCACTCAGTCGTGCTCCCTCGCGGAGCATCGGTTCAGCCCCGGTCCCTCGCGGAGCTCTGGCTCGGCCCCGGTCCCGCACGGAGCCCCGGCTCAGCCCCGGTCCCTCACGAAACCCCCGCTCGCCCCGGTCTCTCAGGAGCGCTAGCATAGCCCCGCTCCCTCCCTGAGCCCCCGCTGCCCCATGTCTCTCACGGAGCTCCCGGTCCCGGCCCCGTCCCTCACGGAGCCCCACTAGCCCCGTCCGTGCCCGTCACCGCCGCCGCCGGGACGGGGGGGGCGTCACTTCCCTTTCCTGCTCCTATGACCCCGCTCCGCGCGCGCCCGGGCACCGCCATGTTCAGTACGGGCTGAGGGCGGCCGACGCCATCTTGAGCGCGGGCAGGTCGCGAAATGGAGCCGGGAGGGCCCGGGGAGCAGCGGGGTCAGCACCCGGCACCGTCCGACAAAGTGACAACGACGGGAACTTGTAGGAGTTAAAGAGCACTGATAGCTCATGCATTTGGTACAGGAGCATTAGGAAACGAGAACAAAAAGGAAAATCGGCGACAACAACATTCTAGAGAACACATTATTTGAGGATTACTAATAGGCTGTATTTTAAGATCTTGCAATAATTTGTGGGATGTAAACTTTGTTTAGAAGTCAACAATCTTTCACATAAAAAAGGTCTTTGCTCAATAAGAAACGTGATCCAGGAATCTGACACACAGAGACTTGTTAAGGTTGGAAAATACCCCTAAAATCGAGTCACATATCGAAACTTAAGGATTCAAAAGTCTGAAAAGCAGAAAATCAAATGCATATTTCTCACAAATACAAAACACTACCAAAACCAATCTCATGATTTTGCATAGCTTCTGCTTGGAATGCTGTTCCTGAAACAGCTGAACCTTGCAGGTACCAGTGAACAAGCAGTATTTGTTAATTACTGCACCCTGCAGAAAAATAATAAATACTGGCACAATCGTGGTCCCTAGAGTTTATTTCTGCCACTCCAGGCTGCGATGAGCAGCTCAGGCTTCAGAGTGACAGATCTGTGGCGGTAGCAGAGCAGCTGCACTCAGGTCTGAGCACCCAAATAACCCAAATGTCCTCCCTGTCCTTGGCATGCTCAACCATGCCTTTCAGCCTTCCAGATTTTAGGCAGACCCATTACCTATTTTTCCTACTACTTAGTATCTTTCTTGCTTTAACATGCAGATCATGTGGAAAGCCAGCAGTGTACTTGTGGTTCCCTTTTAAAATGAGACATGCTACTCCTGTACACTTCCATTTATTCCCTGATAGATATTAAAAAGAAAATACTAACATTAGTCCCTCAATTATAAAATGCAACCTAAGATGACCTTGGATACATTTCCCGTTTAGACACTCCATTTTAGTTTGGAATGATCTGGCCTCACAATATTTCTGTGGTGTATTGTTTTGATTCCCAGTTTAGAGATCAGAAATAACCCAACTCAAAAGACAGCCATGAAGTTATTCATGTCAACAGCAAGTTTGCTGTGTCACAGGATTCTGTGCTGCCACAGGACACCACCTTTCCTGCTGGGGAAACAATGCTGCTCTACACAAATATATACACTTCTTAAGCCACCTTATTTAATTTGGGTTTTTTTAAGTGCCTTTTTTCCACTTCTTGTCACTGTCTCCCAGAGCAGCTTTCTCTCCAGAGCTCAGCTGGAGCACTTTTCAGAGAACCAGCATTCCCCTTTCAGATACATGAGCGAAGTTAGCCTTCCATATAGAAAATAATTCATCTTAGTGTTTTGTTAACTGTATTATTGCTACCATTTTAAGCCAGCCAGGAAGAATGTGTTCAAAATAGGAAATCAGCAATTCTACCACAGATACTGTCATTCTCTATACAAGGGAGTAATAAAATACAGCAAGACACCCTCAGACTGCCCTTTTCAATGACAAAACACAAGATCCAGAAGCGAATCAGCATTTCAAAGTGACAGAAATGCTCTTGCCTCCCACAACAAAATAAACACTAAGTGGTTCATAATCTTTCCAGAAATACTTCTCTGGAAATCAGAACTTCCATTAATTGACAACATTCAGCCAAGTTTTATCCTTAGCTTTAAAAATCAAATCCAAAGACCATTGCATGCCTTGAAGCTGGTAACACCAAATCTCACTGATATAATGTTTGATACATTAATTATCTCTATACAAAGCTTGCAATAGACAATCTTACATTACAAATTTACAGTCAATGAAGGAAGAAATGTAAACTGCACCAGTAATTTATGGTTATTTTCACCGTGGTATCTAGCATAATCTAAGTGACCCCACACTTGTCTTTTTATCTTTTTAATAGATAAAAAGTATCTATTTCCAAGTGGATACTTGGAAATAGAACTACAGAATGAACTGTAAAAACTCACAACTATTACAATGGCAGGAAAGTGCTATATGTAATATAAACAAATGTGTGAAATAATTTGAGAGTTATTAGTAAAAATTTTGTAATGTACCAGTCTTTTCAGCCCATATATAAAAGTTTGAAATTTACAGAGTTAAAATAACATTCCTCAAGTTACTAGTGGTGGAAAGATAATGATAAATATACAGAATTATTACAATATAGACTACTAGAAGTTTGCTCTAGTCATAGGTTAGTGACATACATAATTTCAGTGAGAGCTAAACTAGGATTTTACGCAAGAAATTAATCTCAGCAGGATCACTGTGAATTCCTTTTGCAATTACTCTTTAGAACATGATACAATCCAAACCCAAGCAATGGGTGTCTCCTCAGCACATTCAAATACAAGAACTGAAGGTATATAAGGGAATATCATGTGGGAGTCGTGTCGAAGAGTGTGTTGTACATGTGTTGGACAGTCCCACAGATAGGACTTAAACATAGAACAAAGGGAACAGTGAGGTCAGAAAGGTATCCCAAGAGAAAAATAGGACAATTGAAAAAGCTTATCAGGAGCATGAGGTGGTAAATGAAGGCTGGTATGTGAATCTGCAGATGTCCATGTCTGGGAACTTTTGGAACACACTTATCTTTGGCAGGCCAGTGCTATTGCTAAACACCAGTGCAATGACCTGCTGCCACACAGGGTAACATGAGCTGGATGTGGAACTGAAACCAGTATTGGGTTATTTAAGCATGGAATTAGGTATTTGCTTTGTTTTTGTGCCTTTTTAAAGTCAAGAGAGGTCTTGTACACTGGACACGAAAGAGTAGGATGACCATCAGAATTCGTATCACAACATGCAATTACACCCACTGTCCCTCCCCACAAAATCTGATCCATCACACTGTAAATGTGATTATTCCTACTGAAACCCCTAGACAAGGAAATTCACAACACCAAGTGCTATACATGCTTTACTGATATAAAGATGAAAACATTAGAAATGTAAAATTGTTGTTAAAACTGTATTTAATATCACATTCCAGTGACTGGAAATTAATTCCAATTCTAACAAATTGATTACAGGGAAAGAAAGCAATCACACTGTCTCATGTATCTGAAGATGACTTAAAAGATCTTTTTCATTCCCAAACCTCATTAAACAATCAGTACATTTATGAGGCAAATCTGCTGAATGCCTAAAATCCAAATGAGTTTTAAGGTCTTCAATCTGTCCCGTTGAATATTCACAGTACTGACACAAATAAATCCCTTCAGATAAATGAGAGCTTAGGTGCTTGCAATATTCTAACATACCTGAAAATCCTTTCCCACAGTCATCACAAACATGAGGGAATATTTTGGTGTGCTCAATAGCTACATGCCTGTTGACATTTGTATGCAGCCTGCTCCTAAAGCCGCACACCTGGCACACAAAGAAGTTTTTGCATTTGTCAAAACTGATTTTGTTGATGAGGCTGTACTGGCCACGCTCCTTGTTGTTGTAGCTGTCGCTGAGCTCGATGAGCCGGCACGCATGCTCGTTCACCACGTGGCTGTGCAGATCCTCGGGGTCGTTTGTCTCATGCTCACAGAACTGACACAGGTACTGCTCGTCACAGCTGTGCTCCTGGAAGTGCAGGTACAGCTCGCTGCTGGAGGAGAACTGCACATCACACTGCTCACACCAGTAAAGGTGGTCGTTGAAGTGAGTGTCTGCTATGTGCTGACTCAGATTCTCAAAAATCACCGTTTTGTAATCGCAGTATTTACAGATGTATGGATCTTCCTCGTGTAGTTTTACGTGTTCAATGAGCTGCACTTTGCTGGAGAAACTTTCTTTACAAACTTTACAGACATGAGTGTCTGTACATGTCTTATGCTTCAGGATCATGTGCTGCTTCAGATCAGAGAAGTACTTGCTGTTGAACTCACAGAGCTCACATTTGTACAAGCCGCTGCTGTTGGCTCTCAGCAAAGGCCATTTCTGTTGAGCTGTGATATTCAAAGCCTGGTTCTTCTCAAAGATTTTACAGGTCTCCAGAGGGATTTCCTCAAGGTCCTCAGCTTCCAGCTTCTCAGGTGACACAGTCTGTGTTTCTATATCGTGAACTTCTACAGCATTCACTTCTGTTGTAGAAATTTCTACAGTTTGGATATCTAGAGGTTTCTCTTCTTCTGTGGGGCTGTCACTGAATATAGGTGAGTCACATAAGTCTCTGCACATTCCATTGTTAGTACCTTTATCTGCAAAAGAAAATACATAATAGAAGGTTGAAAAATTCCACAACAAAACACCTGGGCCCATTTTTAATTTTTCAGTCAGCTGCAGCAGCTTTCAAATGCAAATACCAGTTATTTTTCTCCTGCCAGACTATGCTGTATTTTCAGCTAACAAAGCAATAGCAGAAACTATAAATCCTTCACCATTTCTGTCAAAGCAAGGAAGTTACATGAAAAACCAGCAGCAGCTGTGCTCTCCAACCTCTCAGCACCTGATCTGCAAATACACTGACCTTTACCTTTATCCCTCTTTTTAGGGTCTGTACAGTGCATCCCAACGTTTGAGTGTGCCCCGCTCCAGTGAGAGCTCCCGGCATGCACTGGACTCCCATCATCATCTGTGTCCAGGCTCTGCACAGGACTGTGGAATCTACCTGCAAAGGGAAGGGAAGCATTTCCTTGTCATCATTCGTCCACACTAGCATCATCCTGATTCCTTGATTTAGTCATAGGCCTTATTCACTATTTATTTATTATACTTGCATAAATTTATCTACTAAGCACATCATAACCTACATTTAAAAAAAAGTAACAATAAGTACCTTGAAAATTATTTCTATACATGCAGAGAAAAACAAAAGAATTCAAAAAATAGCAACTCTGTCTAGAAGATTTCAGCAGAAAATAGTCAGCTGATTATAAAGAAAAAACATTTAAAGGACATTTAAAGGACACAACTTAAAAACTTTGTTACCTAGGTAAGTAAGTATTTGAAGTTGTTTAAAGGGTCTTTTTGTTGTCATTGTTTCTATTTTGAAAAGTGTATTTCAACTGGAACAATGGAACAACCTCCCAGCAGTCTAAGGCCCATCAGATCACAAGGACACTTAGGAATCACCTGCTATATATTGTGTATTCCATTTGCTTCTATGAATAGGAACATGACATGTTGAAGAACTGCAGAACAAGACCCTAAAACACAGTCTTACCTCTGTTTATATCTGGCTGTCTCATGGAACAGACGCTATAGCAGTGGTCAGAAAAAATTCCACTGTTGTCTATGTATCTGCTTGCACCTGAAGAATCTAAACCAAAACATAAAAAAAAATAAAAATTAAGTACTCATGTCTTGTAGCTACAGATGTATTTCACTTTCATCAAAATTCTTTTCACATTTTTACTTCTCATTTTGGAAAAATTCTTGTTGTGATTTACACCTTCCAGCTGCTGCCCTGATGTTTGGAGTATCGTGTCTCTGCTCCCACTGAGGACATTGACAAGTGCACAGTATGTTCGGTGCTGAACACCCCAACTTTTACAGAATTCCTCCCCTCTGTGCAAGCAGAATCATCTTCATTTGTAGCTAAAGCCAGTTCCCCCATGTGCAGGGAGTACAGAACAAACCATTCAGGTGCATTGGCTCAAAGTGGCCCAGCAAAGGAGCCTGCAGAGTGGGTGCTTCCGATTCAAGCTAAGATTTCTTATCCCACTGTTTATATCACTGCTTTTCTATGTGTTGGCACATATGGTACCTTCTTGTGAAGTTATTATTCTGAAAAAAAAAGATTAACTTACTAAAGTGTACATAACTCAAGCTCTAGACTGACCTGAGTAACGAGAAGGATGCAGAGTCTTCCTTTTCCTCTTTTTAGGATGTTCATTCATTTTGAACCGTCTGCATGAACTGTAAAGTAAAAACATTAAAGAATTAGACTTGTTTGTATCTAGTTTATCTTTCAGAACCTTATGGACAAATATAAACATTTTGAAAACCTGCATATCAAATATAAAAGTTTTTTCCTACTCCCCCTTCTTGTCCCCCAGCCCATTTTAATACAGTTAAGAACCCACTAAATGCACACAATTGCTGAAGTCCAGTTTCACATTCCGGTCCTGGAGCAGGTTCACCCTACGGACAGACAAGTCAGAACTACAGGTACTCCAGCACACAGGATCACCTACAAGCCTTCTCTCCAGCACCCTTTTTGTCAGATGGGACATTCTGAGGCCAGAGCCCTTCAGAAACAAGTTTTAGTGTTTAAAATACTAACACAATCATGCTCTCTTACCAAAAATCCTAAACTCTTCAGTATCAGGAAGCAGAGCAGCTAAGAAGCTGATGGCTGTACAGCTTCCAAATGTAGTGAATGCATCAGCTTAAGAACATTTTCACCTATGGAGTGACAGCATTTTAAACCACTTAAAACTTTAGCACAAAATAGAAAAAAAAACAGAATCAGATACAAGCGATAAAAATAATGAATCTATGGAAATTAAAGCTAGAAACATAAGAACATAAGAAGTTGATATTAATTTCGGTTTAGAGCATCAAAATTAGTAAGGTGGATGCACTGGTGTATTTATTTTTCTTTTGTCTCAGGTTGGCTTTTGCTGCACTTGGCAGCTCCTGAGAGCAGAAAAGTATTTGGAACTGAAACACTTGAGCTACATACGGGACAAACAGTGCTGAAGAAGAAAAGGCTGCAAACAAGGAATGTGATGTAGGTTGCCATAACTGAAGAGCACTTGCGGGCCCAGGATCTCCTGCAGTCAGTGCCCTGCCCCAGAGGTGAAAGGACGGAAAGAAGGGCCCTGATCAAGTCAACTATGTTCTCCTGAAATTATGTATTTTCTCAACTAAAATTTTACTTCAAAGGATGAAAAAAATCATTGATTTTAACGTTGTATCATTATCTAGAAGTATCAGTACCTTCACCGTTTTCTGTGATTGCAAAGGAAGAGCCGCCAGCGCACTGACACGGCAAGTCTCACCCCAGGTAACGCGCTTGTTCTGTTCCAGCCGCTTTCCCTGGCCCTGAAAAGCGGGATCCAGGCTCGGAGAATCGGGATCCCGATGGCCCCGGGGCGGTGCGGCCTGCGCAGAGGCCGCACCGGGACCTCAGGCGGGAGCGCGGCAAAGGCACCGCTCCGCCCCGGCGGCAGCCGCGGAGCCGCGGGCAGGGGCGAGGCCGCGACCCCGCAGGGGCGGCGGGAGAGAGCCGGGCCCGGGGCCGCACCGGGAGAGCCGCGAGCCAGGCCGTGAGTCACAGCTCACCTCCCCAGCGGGGCCGGGGCACGGGCGGCTCCCGCCCCGCGGCTCCCCGGGCGCTGCCGCCGGGACTCACCTGCCGGCCGCCAGTGCCGCTCCGCTCCTGCCGGGCCCGGCGCGGCCGCTCCGCCCGCCCCGCTCCTCGCGGGCCCGGCCCGGCCCGGCCGCTCGGCGGGCAAGGGGCGGGAAACGGGAGAGCGGCCGCCGCCCGCAGCGCCCCCTGCCGGCCACGGCCGCCGCCGCACCCCCCCCGTCGCCATAGCGACGGCGAGGGGGCCTAAATAAACCTTTCGTTTATATTTCATCTGTACCCGATACCCTCGGCACAGCCACGTTTTCATCTGCAGGCCGCGCCCACGGCTGCAAGGCAGCTGACAGCATGTAAGCTTCAGAACAGTGTCAGCACTCAGATTTTACACAAATGGTGTCAAAGCAAGAACCTCATGATGCTCAACTTCACTTTTCGTGTCGATGTAGAAGTTGTCCCTTAGAGCTACAGTATAGGAGAATCGAAATAAAGTATAACATAAATATATACAGTACAAGAAAGAAATATATACATACAAGAAAGACAAGGAGTTATTGGAGAGTATCCAGCGAAGGCACAAAGTGAGGAGGGGTCTGATGCATCTCTTGTGAGGAGAGACTGCAGGACTGGGCCTGGTTAGTCTGGAGCAGAGACAGCCCAGGGGATCCCATCAATGCACATCAATATTTCAAAGACAGGGGCCAGAAGATGGTGCCAGACTCTTTTTGGTGGTTCCAAGCAACAGGACAAGGAGCAATGGCCAGAAACTTAAAAAAAAGTTTCACCTCAACATGAAGAAAACTTTGTTCACATTGAGGGTGGCAGAGCACAGAGGGAGGCTATGGATTCTCCCTCTCTGGAGACATTCCAAACTCATCTGGACATGTTCCTGTGTTACCTGCTCCAAGTGACCATGCCTTGGACTGGGTGATCTCCAGTGGTCCCTTCAAAACTAACAATTCCATGATTCTGTGAAATATGTATAAATAAGGGTTTGAAAATTAAAATAAGCAACTCTCCCTTTTCCAAATTTATAATCATATCCCTCTTCGCTGATTTCATCTTCACTTTTTATCATGCCGTGGCGAAAAAGCACCAATTGTATTGTTTCATGAAGGAGAACACTTCAAACGTATTACTATTTTTAAAAATACCTCATTAATTTTGAAGACGTAAGGGAATCCACTACAATCCCTTATTTCCATGACTTAAAATAACTTATAACAATTTTGCTAAGCATTTCATTAACTGAATTGCTTTGCTGTGGCTTAACCTGAATTTACCTAGTTCTAAGAAAAAGTTTTGAATTAGCAGAGAATCTACAATATCCCTAATGTTGTTGCTTCATTGATTAGTAAAACAAGGAATTATACTCTGCTTCTGGCCTTAGTTTTATTCATCATCTGGCAGATGAAACTGGACTTATTCTGTTTATAAAATCCTGTCTTTAGCCTTTGTTGTGAGGCTGGAAACATGCCTTTAGTGTAATGTGATTTGCTTAGAGCCAGATGGAAAGAGCTTCATCTTACGATCACACAGGAGTTTTGGTGGTAAGCAGCAAAACAGGACTAAAGGTTTCCTTTTGCTGGCACAGTGCTGAACCCTCAGACATTAAATAAATGTTGTATGTCTACGATCTCCCGCCCTGAGTTACCAATCAAACAAGACCCTGGTCTCCCAGTTCAGTTTGTTCTCTGCTTTTTATTCCAGCCATGGTTGCTGAGGTTTCCCTGGGACAGCTTGTGTTCAAGGTCTCATAAATTGGCTACAGCCACCCACATGGGTGGATGCCCACATACTTCTCCCTCTATTCACCAAAATATTTTCCATGCAAGTGTTCCAGGACAGCACTTTTCCCAGACCCCAGAGGAGGGCAGTGATGAGAACCTAAAATCCATACATAGCAAAGGGAGAGGAAAAAAAAAACCAACCCCAAAACCTTTGCTTTGAATTCAGTCCTGCTTGTGAGGCAAATGCAGGCGGACCAAAGCATCTTCTGTACTTTTTGACTGATTTGTTCTCCACCCAAAGCACCACAGCCCAACACCACTTATGTCAGATAAAAAGACAAGGCTTTAAGTGAAAGAAAAACATCTGAGGAAGATCCCCTTTGAAGCTGCAGATCCAGTTCAAAGTCACACGCATCAAACAGAACTATCAATGCTTTAGACAGAAAAGCCTAAATGAGTCTTTTTTTCTATACCACCATGTGCTTGGGCTGTTGAGAGAACTCTGGGTGAGGTTTTAATCACTCAGAACAGATTCTAACTGAAAATACAGAAAAGCCTATGCGACATTCACATTCTTGTTTAAATGGGCAACACAGATTATGCTCATTTCAATTAGTGGGGATGTATCCTGACCAAAATAAGTATGGGGTAAACCCTTTCTTCAATGAAAGTAGTTTGCATAGCTCATCAGGATAACCTTCACTGGAGGTAGATTTGTTACTGTTTAAAAGGACATGTAGGAGGTTCCTTGACATATCTTTCTAGCATTTCATTCTAGCATCAGGTTCCCTGCTCTTTTGTTACATGGGTTCAGACTTTAGATTGAGTCTTGCTGTGGCAGGTTGGAAAACAGACTGATTGATTTCTGAGCATAAAATCAGAAGGGCTTACTGAGATTCCCATACTAAAGCAAACTGCCCACATTGCAAATCTTGATTGTTTCACCAGCATTATTTTGCAAATTTTCTGCACTCAGAACTACCACAAAAATCACACTGTGGCACTAAATGGCAGCAGTCTAAAATTTATATTTGAACAAGAGCTGATGATTCTCTTATCTTGAACCATCCTGTGCAACTAACACACAGTTGTAGCCACTCACAACCATTTCACAGTTATTAGGAAAGGAGGTAAAGCTCACCTTATGTACAATAAACGCAAGTTTAACCTGTTAGTTCAGGTCACTGAAGTAGCTAGTTCCAAAACCCCAGACATACTTTCAGATCAGAGCTCCACTGAAGCTTCAAAATAAATATAAGGATGATGATATCCATCTTTTATTACGGAGTTGGTCCAGTACAAACTGAGCAACTGCTGGACCACAGCCCTTCTCAAAACTGGGCAGCGTGACCTGAAACAGAACTGACCAGTGTACAAAGTTAAGAGCTGACTGGAGACAAAATGTTTTGAAAAGGTCCGATTAAAAACCCTGACACTTACCTCGTCCCTCCAAAAAAGTGTGAAATCCTCACAAGAAAACTCAAATCCTTCCCAGTTTGTTAGCAACTGGAGTCCAAAGTGGGCCAACGCGTTCACAAAAGGAGTTCTTTTGCAGCCTCATGCTTTTACACTGCCAGTGAATAATTTCCCCAAATATATTTGTCACTCTTTCAAAATTAGTATTGGATACAAAAATATAACCTTGCTTGTTTGTTTTTTAAATTATAATTTTGGTAATGAAAGCATGAAGCACATTTTTCAAAACCAGATTGATTTAGCAGGGACTGTAAACCATCCAGCTGAAACACTTCTATAACATCATCTCTCCTGTCACAGTTTCTTGCAGCCCACGTCTAAAACTAAAATAAAATTACTTATTTTGAGGATCAGCATTTACAAGAACAAACGCCACATGCATATTGGACTTTTGACCCCTAAATAATGCAAATCCTATTTCTGTTACCCCCAAATTAACTGTAACCCCCAAAATGATATGCAATTTCCATTTCCTTTCTTCTAGTCTTTTTTAAAAGCAGAGCTCCAACACCAAATCACACTCCACAACTGAATATTCCTTAAATTCTTGCTTCAGAATTCACAAGAGTACCAACCATATCATTTTAATTTAGTTGTTAGTATATACATTAACACTCAAAAGTGTGATAAAAACCAAACAAAAGTAGTTTTTTTTTTAATAAACAGCATGATACAGACCGCGAAGATAAATAAAAAGCAGACTTTTTACAATTTCCCATGAACATGAACTACAATAAGTATCATAGGCCAAACATTTGTTACTTGAGTAGCACAGCAGAAGGGTTAAAAAAGGTTTTGTTTTTTTTTATTTAAAGTACTGCAAGACTATTCTCAGTATGACAACACATGCATCTTGCTGCATCTTAAATATTTTTTGGCCCATTATTACTAAAAATGTCTTGCTTTCTACCTACTTTACCACAGACCTTTATCACAGAAGGACACACACATGGCAACACCCCCCCCTGGCCCCAGTAGTGGTTATTTCAAAGATAATTATCTCATTTTTAAAAGATAATTGAAGCACTGGTGGGTGCTTTTACTCTCCCTTTGATGTGGACAGGTAATTGCTCCCAGCTTCACTCAAGTTACACAGAAACATCAAGAGCTGACACCCTCCTGGGCTCCATTTAGCCAAAATGCCAACAGGATGCTGGGCTGCCTTAGGAAGAGCAGGTCCAGGGAGGTGAGCCTTGCCCCTGTCCCTCTGCTCAGCACTGGTGAGGCCACACCTGGAGCACTGGGAATCCCAGTACAAACCTGACGTGGATGTACTGGAATGAGTCCATGAGGGGCTACAAAGGTGAGGGATAGGAGAGGAGGCTGAGAGGGCTGGCATTGGTACCCTGGGCAGAGAAAGCCCGGGGGGCATCTGGTCAATGTACATAAATACTTCATAGAGAGGAATAAAGACAGGCAAGGGTTTTCTCAGTTCCCATTGAAAGGACATCAGGCAATGAAATTGAAGATATTTCATATAAACATTATGAAAATATATTGACTGTGGATTCCTCTTTTCTCAGACAGATTCTAAACCCAGCTAGACAATGTCCTGGGCATCCTGTTCTGTTGCTGATCCTGCTTTGAACAGGATGTCTGGGCTAAATGCACTCCAAAGGTCTTTGCCAACTTCAG